GGCGCCGAGCCGCAAGCAATGTTTTTAATTTCATTTTTCTTTATATGGAAAAACTTACACATTTATTGTCTATCTTCTGAATAACCACATTCTAGAGGCAGAAAGAACAATAGATTTAACAAAACGCCGGCAAATTTACCAAGCTCCTGGCTAGCCATTTCTGTAGCAATAATCCAGTAGTCTACTGATTATAGAAGTGAGTCATAAATAATTTTAAATCACTTTAAATCCTGACTTGCTATGCAAAGACCCTTTTTAGACACCCACTCCTGATAGTAATCCATGAAAGCATTGCCATTTCCACCATATCTCCACAGATGTCTAACAGTTAGCCACAAGTACGTGAAATGTGAAATAGAGACAAAATACTTCAATTCTAACAGTACTGTACATCTGTTTATTCGGTTGGCAGTGTTCGAGTGTACTCAGGATTGTATCAGAATATGGATTCAAACAGAAAAAGAAAATTAAAGCCCAAAATGGTTTGCAACACGTGATACCTACAAACAGAGCTAGGCACGTGTAATTTAGTTTTTAAAAATTCTACCGAAGAATGAAAAACCTGTCACTTCTAAATACCATATAAACGGCTACTGATGTCAGGAGAGCCCTTTATAAAAGAAAAACCTAAAGATTAGCCTTGCCCGGGGGCATATAAGATAGTCTCAGCTAAATGTCACTGACTAAACTCTGTTCTGGAATTCTAATGGATAAAAGGCTTATAATTTATATTCAGTAAAACTTTCATAACTTATTCAGTAAAATTTCCTTTTAGAGAAATATCCTTGCATAATTTAGGTGAGACTGGACATAGTTATGCATTATGAGCCTACAGCTGGGGTTAAGTAGTTTAAATAGGATTTTGTATTTATTCAAGTCATCAGATTTAAAAAAAAAAAAAACCTTTACTTACAAATATCACATTTTTCTTGCCAGGAACTCATAGCTCTTCCTTGGCTTTTTGTGGAAAAGAAAGAGGAAAGGAAAGAAAGGGAAGGAAAAGGAAAAAGAAAGAAAAGGTGGGCGGCACCTGTGGCTCAAAAAGGAAGGGCGCTGGTCCCATATGCCGGAGGTGGCAGGTTCAAACCCAGCCCCGGCCAAAAAAAAAAATATATATATATATATATATATATATGAGAGGACAAAATATTATAATTGTGCTTAAGATAATTCTACCCAGCATAATTTTCAAGGATACACATTTCTTGCTTTACACTTTTGTGTAGTTCAAGTTAGTAGAGAAGTATCCAGTAGAAAAAAAAAATACAATGGCGAATCTCAATCCGATTCATTTTGTTGGAGAAGTTACCCGTCCATTACTAATTTAGTAACATGGCCACAGCTTTTGAATGCACGGCAGCATGAACCAATTCAAAGGTAGATATATTATATTCATTTGTTCACCTTAAAAAAAAAAAAAGAACAGAAAGAAAGAAATGCTTAACCAATACAAGGCACTTAATTTAAGACAGGAATTCTTTCTCCAGTTCATAGATAGATGGTTGGCTAGTTTTATTCTTCATTCTGCACAGAGGGACGGTGCAGTCCCTGCTCTGACCTTCCATGTCCGCATCCAGTAATGAAGGCACGTGGAATTTAGTTCTTTCCTTGGCACCGAGGAAATGGGCAGGGCTCGGTTCCGGACAGCCCCGTCCACTGGTGGCCTTTGCAGGCTGAGGCATTGCTCTGTGTGGGGCAGCTTGAGGCCGACCGGCTGGGCTTCTCAGGGAGGCAGGGCGAGGCCGGGGAAGGACACTGACAGCTCTGTGCTTCTCAGAGGAGATCTCGGCTGGCTGGTGACGGAGAGGACTGGAGGAGGAGTGGAGAGGCAGTTCACAGGCGGGGGTGGCTGAGAGAAAAGCTGCACCAGCTGGGGAGAAAGCCAAGATAGGGAGCAATTAGACAGTGATTTTTAATTTAATTTTTATTTTATGTTTTTACCTTTTTTCTTTTTTGAGACAGAGTCTCACTATGTCACCCTCAGTAGAGTGCTGTAGCATCACAGCTCACAGCAACCTCAAACTCTTGGGCTTAAGCAATTCTCTTGCCTCAGCCTCCCAAGTAGCTGGGACCACAGGCATCTGGCTATATTTTGGTTGTAATTGGCCCAGGCTGGATTCTGCTGTATGTGGCTTGCGCCTTAGCTGCTGAGCTACATGCACCAAGTCTATGTATTTCCTTTTTTAAGACAAAGTTTCACTCTGTTGCCTTGGGTCGAGTGCTATGATATCATAGCTCACAGCAAGCTCAAACTCCTGGGCTCAAGTGACCCTCTTGCTTCAGCCTCCTGAGTGATCTTGGACTATAGGTGCCCATCACAATTCCTGGCTAGTTGTTTTATTTGTGGAAATGGGGACTTGCTCTTGCTCAGGCTGGTCTCAAACTGCTGAGCTTAAGTAATCCACCTGCCTTTGCCTCCCAGAGTGCTAGGATTACAGGTGTGAACCACTGCGCCTAGCTGATAATGACTTTTAAACAATGGATATCAAGAAAAATAATTACGACGATGATTCAACTAAGTGATGACTTTAAAATGGCCTTCAACAAAAACCAGAAAAAAAAACCTTTACAACTGTTGGAATATGCGTATTTTTAGAGATGGGGTCTAACATGGTTGCCCAGGCTATACAGCAGAAGCTGTCCACAGGCATGAGGGCTGCAGCCTGGAACTCTTGACCTCAAATACTCCTCCTACCTCAACCTCTGGAGTAGCTGAAACAACAGGTGTGTGTCACCATGGTCACCTAACTTTTTTCTTTTTAAACAAAAAAGTTTGTAAAGAGTACTTCAACCTACAGAAATAATATTTGTAAATAGAGCTAAATCATCTTGACAGTGCTTAGGCCAATGGTCATTGTAAGTGTCTTATAAACAGGGAGCTTTCAAAATGGATGAGATTAGAAGAAACTAAAATGTTTAGAAATAATGTTAACACGATTGAACTCCACTCTTGATTATAATTTGAAAAAATTGAGGAAAACAGGAAAGCACTTAGGTTTTTACATGTTACCGTTTCTCTTGCTTGTCTTCAACAATTAACTTATTACTGCTTTGGCGAATAATTATGGGCTTATAAATTAAAAAATAATGCTTTCTGGCTCAGTGCCTGTGGCTCAAGTGGCTAAGGCGCCAGCCACATACACCTAAGGTGGAGGGT